GCACTGGGGATGGGCCCCGACCCCCAGTGACGGTCCCCACTGCGCCCCCCAGATCCTGTTCGACCACGTGCGGGTGAGCCAGGGCTTCAGCAAGAACGGCGTGAGCGTGTCCATGACGGCGAGCACCACGATGCGTGTGGACATCCCGGCCGTCGGGGTCAGCGTCACCTTCGACGGGCAGGTCTTCCAGGTCCAGCTGTCCTACAGCCACTTCAGCCACAACACCGAGGGCCAGTGCGGTGAGCGGGACACGCGCCAAGTCCCTCTGCCTCCACAGGGACCCTGACCACAACTGCCAAGCCAGCCTCGCCCAGTGCTCCCCACGTGGCCACCTCCCCCATTCAGACCACCCCTGGGACCCCGTCCTCCAGTCCCACCTTTGGGACCTCCCTGCCCACCAGCTCCCTGAGGCCGACCCCGATCTCCACCACCTCCATGACCTCCACAACCCCTGGGGCCTGCACGCCACGGTGCACGTGGACAGACTGGTTCGATGAGGACTACCCCACCCCGGTTGCCGACGGCGGGGACTTTGAGACCCTCTCTGTCCTCCGCGCTGCCGGCCACAGCTTCTGCGAGCAGCCTCAGGACATCGAGTGCCGAGCAGAGAAGGCGCTGGACAGGAGCCTGGAGGACGTGGGCCAGGTGGTTCAGTGCGACGTGCGCTTCGGGCTGGTGTGCCGCAACCGCGACCAGGGCGGCCGCTTCAGGATGTGCCTCAACTACCACGTGCGTCTGCTCTGCTGCGACAGCCACTGCCCGTCCTCAACCCCAGAGACCACCACGTCCCCCTGGCTCCCCAGAACCTCTGGGCCCAGCGCCTCACCCAGCCCTCTCATCTCTACCACACCCTGCCGGTGCCGGGCGTTTGGACAGCTGTTCTCACCAGGTGTGTGGAGCGCCGTCCCCTCCCGAGGACAGTCCACCCGGCACCCCATTCCGGGGTCTCTGCCCCGCCCAGTGGTAGGTGCTGTGGAGGCCATGCTGGCTGATGGGCGTGTCTGATCTTCCCGATTCCCCCCTCCCCCCAGGTGACGTTGTCTACAACAGGACGGACAGGGCCGGCTGCCACTTCTACGCCATCTGCAACCAGCACTGCGAGCTCGACCGCTTCCAGGGCGCCTGCCCCACCTCCTCGCCCGTGGAGCTCGTGACGGCGACCTGGGTGCCCCTGACCTTTCCAGCTCCTGGCTGTGACCTCGTGGACCCTCCCCGCCAGGTGCGTGCCCCTCCTCCCCGCCTTGCCTGCTGTCCTGTGCACTCGGTCAGG